GGCCACAAGGCTCTCACTTTGACTCCTCCTCTAGGCCAAAGCCCCGTGTTCATGTCTGACTCAGTGTCCGTTCCCAGCTCCCCCACATTTAGTACCTGAAAGTTTCTAAGATCACTGAACGTCTGCGATGTTTAGTATGTGATGGGCTCCTTGCCTGTGTGTGCCAGCCATCTCAGGTGGTAAGGCATCAGGGTAGGACCAGAATGGCCACCATCTATCCCCTGTGCCCCTTGATAACACACTCACACCTACGAAGGACCTACCCTACTAATAGTGAGTAAAGGATTCCTCGCTCACAGTTCAAGATGCATCAATGGTCTAGAAACAAGATAGGGCTTTGCTTTGTTTTTACTCACCCTTGAGATTCAAATTCTAACTTCCTCGTCAACTGCCCAACTTGGTGGAGTGCAAGCTGTGGGTTTTTTTTTTTTTTAATGATTTATTTTTATTTTATACGCATTAGCGTTTTGCCTGCCTGCATGTCTGTGTGAGGGTGTCAGATCCCCTGGAACTGGAACTACAGACAGTTGTGAGCTGCCATGTGGGTGCTGGGAATTGAACCCTGGTTGGAAGAGCAGCCAGTGCTCTTAACCACTGAGCCATCTCTCCAGCCCCGAAAGCTGTGTTTCAATTCTACCAATTTCTCTTTATCATCCAGTGTGTGGCCCTGAGGGATTCACCAGAGTGACACCAGGTACCATGAACTGTGGTGGTCAAGTCTTGAAGATTCCTGGATGAGGTGTCTTGTAGATTCTTAGTACATTTAACCAGCTGCTGTGTACAAGAAGAATACTCTCCTGGAGACCAGGACAGCTGGAGATGAGTATGCCTGGTGAGAAAACCACCAAGCAGTATAGCAGACTCCATGGCTCTCCATCACCTGTAACTCCAGTTCCAGGGAGTCCAACGCTTCCTGGCCTCCATGGGCACCAGGCACACGTCATGTGATGCATATACTTAAGGGTGCTCCCACATGCCCATAGTAAGTCTTTAACAATAATGGCCATAGAGCTCAGTGTTCACACGTCATGTCTTAACTTTTATTGTTGCTCTGACAAGCTGACAGCAGCTTAGGGGAGAGAGGATTTGTTTCCGCCTTGCTGTTCAAGAGGGTGCAGCCCAGCCCAGCCCAAGAGAGTGTGATGGAATCCGCAGAGGTAGGAGTAGGGGTGGCCTGTATGCCTCAAGGTCCTCCGCTACAGCCCTACATCCATCCACCAGCTAAATTCTAGGTCCAGAAGGTTCCGCAGCTTTCCAAGACAATGCCACTAGCTGGAGACCCAAGTATTGATATACATGTGCCCGTGGGAGACGTTTCGCATTCAAACCATAACACATAAAGAGGAAGTAACCTTCTAAACTGAAAATGGTAACAGCAACAAGTCTGACTGAAACTATAAGATTAAAAACTTTTTTAAATAGCTGAGAAAAATATGGAAAACTATCTGAATCAAATGATCATGATTTATCTTAAAAATAAATAGTTTATGGAAATTAGCAGTAAATAATAATGATTATACTACATAAGGAAGGACATGATTATCTGAATATCACAAACCATAGCAAAAGCACCAAAACCACCGAAATGTCTGGATTTAAGTGCTTAAACAATTAAGCACTGGACAATGATGTCACAAACCTTTAACCTCAGTACTCTGGAGGTAGAGGGAGATGGATCTCTGAGTTCAAGGCCAGCCTGGTATGTGGGGTGAGTTCCCAGACAGCCAGGGATACACAGAGAAATCCAGTCTTGAAAAGCAAAAAAAATTAAATGAAAAAAATAAGCAACATAAAAAAAATGTGGGCTTTTGTGACCCAGAGAACAGCAAATGATAAACCAGGTACAATGGAAAATATGGCTGAACAGTTGGAAGTACGTGGAGAATAGATAACATACAATGTTTTCTAAAATCTAAGAATAATGGGAGTATGTGGACACTATTTTTGGAAACATCCTTCCCTGAATGAGAAAAATTCACCAGCCTGTTAAGTATGATTGTGTCAAAGAGCCAAATCTGGGGTGACTTTCATGAAACTTTATAACGAAAACAGCAAGTACAATTTCCAAAAAATGTTCTTGAAGATCATGATAAAATTTTTACAGAAAAGAAAAAAAAATGAGTGGTGGGAAAAGTTGAAACTTTAAATACAGCCTCTGTAGGGGGAGGGGAGAAAACAAAAACAACTGAGATGAAACGTTGTACACGCTATTCTCCCTTCATCCCAAAGACAATCCAGGACCCTGGACAGGGCAGGAGGACCACAGCCTAGTCAACCCAGTGGCTAGTCCCACAGTCCGGAGAGGGGAGGCCTGTGAGCGATGGTGTCAGAGAAGGCTCCAGGGGTCGGATGGAAGAAGGGCCACCTGCTCCTGCTTAGCCTCTCTCCCTAGTCAGAGAATGGGCAGCACCCTCGGCTGGGAAAGATGGGTGTTTCAGTTGGCCGTGACGACTCCTCCTGGGGGTGGGGGGCGGCAAAGAGACAGTAGTTGGCCACATCTCACAAAACAGCCTGGGTACCACAAGCATCCAGGGCAGCGTCTAGCCTTTGCTGCTTTCTCTTATCTGGACAAGCTGGAAAAAAGCCACTGTGCTTGGGCCCCAGCAGAGAAAATCCACTGTGCTTGGGCCCCAGCAGAGAAAATCCACCCTATGTGCTCAACCAGACTTCCCTTGGGTATGAGACCACAGCTAGGACCAAGACCACAGCCAGGAAGCACTAATCTGTGTTCTTTAGTAAACAACCTACTTCTACTTCCCCTCCGCACCCGGCTCGGCTCTGCTCCCCCCCCCAGCTCCCCTCTCCTCCCCCACCCCCATCTCCCACCCCCTGGCTCCCCCCCTCTGGGCAGCTGCCCCCCTAGTCTGCCTTCTACCCTGGTGGTGTCTTCACAGTCCATCTCTAGCTTTCAAGATCACTCATGCTCTTTGAGCCCTAGACTGAGATGTGCCAAGTGCAAGTGGGAAACGTTCTTCAGCACTGGACCTGGCCTCTGTCTAGGCTCTATCCCACTGGTCTTCTAGGGAAGGAGGCCGTAGCCCCTGTGGCCAACCAGGAGGTAGGCACAGCTCACCAGCACCATGTGGCTAGAGGGCCTTTTGGAGAAAGCTCATGCCTAGAAACTGGGGAGCCCACCAAGAGATTAGGCAGGCTTACTCCCTGGCCTCTTGAGTACCTTTTCCCAGCTTGCAACTGGTATGAGAAATATTCTTTTTAAAAACTGTTAAGCTTATTAAGTGCATGTGTGTATGTGTGTGGGCGTGTATGTGTATGGCACACGTGTGATCAAAAGACCATTTGCAGAAGTAGGTTCTTTCCTTTTACTATGTGAGCTAGGGGATTGAACTCGGCTCCTCAGGCTTGGTGGCAAGCGCCTTTACCTACTGAGTCCTCTCATCAGCCCAAGGAAAAAAATTCTTGGCAGGAACAACGAGATACGTACCCCAAGCTCTGCATGTTTGACTTAATGGTTAGGTTTTACAGGATAGAGGCAGGCCCTTTCCTTTACAGAAAAGCAGACTCACTACCCACCCACCCCCAGCTTAAAACCCTTACTCTGTGAGAACTGGATTTGGACAGAATGCAAAGACATTTATTCCTCTCTCCCATCTTCCTGCTCCCTGTTGGGTAGCTGCAGTTATCAAAGGAGACCCAACCCAGGGGTATCCTATGGCCCAGTCTGCCCAGAACAGTACTGTTGATTGCCATGCTTCTTCTGCTCTCAGTGTGTCTTGGTTTGGATCATAACATTTCATCAGCCTACTTCCAATCAATGTCAAGCTGGGCACACACACACACACACACACACACACACAGCTGCCCTTCTGTGCTCTGGTCCTTTCATTAGAGAGACATCTTCCACGGTGTTCCTCAGACGAGAAATCCCAGGCCTACCTCTAATCCTTTCTGTGTGGAGACCTGGACTAATCTCCATACATCCTCTCCGTTCTGTCCCTACTGCTGATAACTATGTCGGGAGCTGGGATAGCTCAGGGGCAGAGCACTTGCCTGAGGAGGGTGAGACCTTGCCTCCTGCAAAATAAAACCATAATCATCTATTTCAGTCACAAATACGGCAGCCTCCTGGGGAGTCCTGCCAGGGCTTTTCCAAATCAGACTTACATCCAAAGGATCAGGCACGGTGACCCTGCCAGCTACGTCTGCTGTCCATTCAACCATCCACCTACACTCCTCCCCTAGGCTCCCGCAGCCTGCCCGTATCTTCTTAGGCGTCTCACTGTACTTGCTTGTTTTGTTTTTGTTTTTCAAGACAGGGTTTCTCTGTGTAGGTTTGGAGCCTGTCCTGGATCTCGCTCTGTAGCCCAGGCTGGCCTCCAACTCACAGAGATCTGCCTGGCTCTGCCTCCTGAGTGCTGGGATTAAAGGCGTGCGCCACCACCACCCAGCTGGCTCATCCTCTCTGTTCTGCCATCTTTTTTGACCTTTATCCTCTTCCTAGACCCGACTTCAAGCGTTGCCCTTCCACAGCTGTTTCTCACCAACAGCATGGCCCTTGCTTCTAAGCTCTACGTGGACTTTGTTTTAAACATGGACTACAGCTTGACTGATGACTTGTTGGCTATCACACACATGGCCTGTGTCTCCCACCACCACCACCCCCAAAATGATGGATCTGAGGTCAAGATGCATTTCTTGCAATGCAAAAAACAATGCCCGCTATGTGGAGAGGTCACTGTTAATGGAATGAGAGCAGATAAAACTGACAGTCCCCCGGAATTTCCCACACCAGGTTGCTCAATGCATCAGTCATTCATTGTTGGTGACAACAGAGTGACTCTGGGAAGGCATTGTTAGCAGCAGTTCCAACGCAGCCCATCAAGGGATATGTGTTAAGAATTTGTGTGTAGCTCCTTAAGGAGAAAGCATGTTTTCCCTCACCCACCCTTGTCTCTCCTCTTACAGTCCACGCAAGCCCAGACATTCTGCACACCCTTATCCATGAACCCTCTGCTTCCCCTCCCTTCACAGGGGGTCTCGGAGCTCCTATCTCATGATTTAGAGTAACAAATCTGTTGTTTTGTTAGGGGCCATTTTGTGTCATCCTTTGTATAGAGGTTATGACCCTGTTTGACTTACCCCGGCAAGGTTTTGAAGGATGGGGAAGGAGGAGGGTTAACCCAGGGCCCTGATCCTTTCCAGTAGGGCACTCCCTCCAACTACGACTTCCCACTCTAGCTTTAAACATGGCTTCATGAGGACTGGACTAGACCAGAAATGCCTCTCCAGGTGGCACATCTAATCCTTCCTCCCAGGAGGCTAATTGGTCCAAGAGCTCCGGGGACAATTCTTGATCAGGAACTGTGGGAGGCTCCCTCAACCTCCAGATCCCCTTGTGTGTGCTGCATGGCAGAGCAAATTAGAGACAGGAGTGAGGCATGGTCCTCCTTTAGAAATCTGTCTCCTCCCCCTCTAAACACAAGCAAACAAAAGCAACTCCTGATGAGAATCGAAAACAGTTTAGGGCTCTAGGGCACACCTGCTGCCCCTTGCACCCCATATCAGATACCCGCCGGCCAAGAAAATAGGCCAAGCACCCAGAAATATTGTGCTATCAACTTCGAGTGGCCACAGGTCTCCCAGCCCCTAAGGATATCTCCTTACAATAACCAGTCGTGAAGCCCCCTTTTGGGCCAGCCCCAACTTGGAAGCCACCATTTCCACCACAGATACCTGCCCCTCCCGGCCCACACTCTTCTCCCCCTCCACCTTCCTGCTCACCCCTTCGCCGCGGCCTGGGGTGGCAGGAAGGGAGGTGCTGGGCACCGGCCGTGAAAAGCAAACCCCCTCCTGCTCAGAGAGAGCGGCACTGCGCCAGGGAGGACGCAGGTCCAGTGACCCTGGCCATGCAGTCCACCGAGGCCTGGAGTCACAGCTGGAGCACGCCGTCCTGGGACTATTCGGGCTCTGGCTCCCTGGACCAAATGGAGCTTTGCCCGGCCTGGGACCTGCCCTACGCTCACGCCATCATCCCTGCGCTCTACCTGGCGGCCTTCACCGTGGGCCTGCCGGGCAACGCCTTCGTGATGTGGCTGCTGAGCGGACGGCGCGGACCGCGGCGGCTGGTGGACACCTTCGTGCTGCACCTTGCGGCCGCCGACCTGGGCTTCGTGCTCACACTGCCACTGTGGGCGGCGGCGGAGGCCCGGGGCGGCCTGTGGCCCTTCGGCGACGGCCTGTGCAAAGTCAGCACCTTCGCGCTGGCGGCCACGCGCTGCGCGGGCGCGCTGCTGCTGGCGGGCATGAGCGTGGACCGCTACCTGGCCGTGGGCCGGCCGCTGAGCGCGCGGCCGCTGCGGAGCCCGCGCTGTGTGCGAGCCGCGTGCTGCGGCGCCTGGGCGGTGGCGGTCCTGGCCGGGCTCCCCGCCTTGCTCTACCGCGGACTGCAGCCGAGCCCGGACGGCCCGGGCAGCCAGTGCGCCGAGGAGCCGTCGGATGCACTCCAGGGCCTCGGCCTGCTGCTGCTGCTGCTGACCTTCGCGCTGCCGCTGGCTGTCACCCTGGTCTGCTACTGCCGCGTGTCGCGCCGCCTGCCGCGCGTGGGGAGGGCCCGGAGCAATTCGCTGCGCATCATCTTCGCCGTGGAGAGCGTCTTCGTGGGTTCCTGGCTGCCCTTCGGCGTCCTGCGAGCCATCTTCCACCTGGCGCGCCTCCGGGCTTTGCCTCTGCCCTGCGCGCTGCTGCTGGCGCTGCGCTGGGGTCTGGCGGTCGCCACCTGCCTGGCTTTCGTCAACAGCTGTGCGAACCCGGTCATCTACCTCCTGCTGGACCGCTCGTTCCGCGCCCGGGCCCGGTTCGGGGTGTGCACGCGCGCCGGGCGCCAGGTACGAAGGATCAGCTCGGCGTCCTCGCTCTCCAGGGACGACAGCTCGGTGTTCTGGGGCCGGTCCCCAAAGGCGAACTCTGCCTCGGCCTCGTAGCCTCCCGTTGGCGGCGCAGGTGGAGCGGCCGCGGAGCTCCAAAGAGAGGAGCCACACGGAGGACGATCGTGCTCCCAAGATGCGCCCGGAGGACTGCCCATCGGTTTTCTCGGAGCTGGCTAAGACTGGCTGTTCTCGCAGACTGATAGACGTGGGAAGGGTGGGGAGTTTCCTTAATTTTCCCCAGGGCAAGAAAGGCTGTAGACACCCACCTGGTTTACCCAGTCGATGTGAGGGAAGTGAGTTTTCCTCTCTGCTTCATTTGGTGTAGCTCAGCTCAAACATCCAACGCAGACTCTCAACGGCCCTTCTTGCCCCAGACCGTTCTTGCCCCTGCAAAGCCTTTGCCATCCGAGAAATTTCTCCTCCACATCAGCCCTCTACTAATGCCACCTCAGAAATGTTCTGTAGAACGAGAGGGGCGACAGCCCTTTCTCTGGCCATCTTTGTAGCTTCAGTGACTGAATCCTTTCACATCCCCAGTTGGGATATTCATTTTCAAAGGCTCACCAAAGACATGGGAACCACCTCCAGTCTGAGCTGCCCAACTTGATCCTTCCCACCTGTTCCTTCAGAGTGCCAACCTGGCTGTGGTGACCCTTCTCCCCTCTGGGGAAGCTGTTCTGACCTTCCTTCTTAGTGCTGGGAGCTGACATTTCAGCAGGCATTCCGATTCCCCATCACGCAGCCAGGGACCCCGGGTTCTTCTGTGAGTTCACATCTCAATAATAATAATAATAATAAACCGCTGGTTAGCCCTCGTTAGAGCTGCGTCTTGACTTGAACAGCAGGAGTGAAATGGGGTGTCAGAAGTGCGTCCCCATCAGACACAACTCAACTCAGAAGTTGAGGCACCTCAGGGTGGTGGTTTGTGTGATGCTGGGATGGGACAAGAGGACCAGCTGCACCTGTGTGGTACTCTCGGGAGGGCAGAGAATTACTTATTCTTTTAAAGGGCATCTCACATCTTGAAGGTTGCAAGATGAAAAAGAAAAAAAAAAAAAAAAGAGGAAGATGCACAGCATCTGCCTGCCAGGTGTCATTTCAAAGAAGAGATGTGTAATTTTGAGTTTTAAATGTGGTCCAGGCTTTCCCCCATGCTCTGGGAGCCCTTCCAGTACAAATGTTTGGAATTAACCATTTCAGACTCTGGTTTAATCCTTTGAGGCGTGTGGAAGGCTTAGAAAGGAAATGTTTTTATTTGAGAGGATTTGGCCTAGACACATCTTGGTCAGCGAGGGAAAGGGGTTCTGGGACGGGGTTCTTCGTGAGAACCACGCCCCAGCCAGATCGTGGGTCGTGGAGTCGCCGCACAGACTGAAGCTTCCGTGCTGGGTTAGATCTGAAGATGGGCATTCTGTCTGGCTGTTTAACCTCGTCTAGTACCTCTGCATTCCCTCTAGCACTTGAGACTATTGGTTTGGAGTATGTTTAGCGATACAGCCCACCTTGGCCCCACCTTGCATCTGCTCTTGTCAGAAAGAACATCTCTGCACGTCCCACTGTACGCCCTGGGAGCAGCAAGGCCTGCAGCCTATGGTCACCGGGGCCAGCAGGGTGTACTTCAGACACTTGCAAATCTAAGGGCTCATTTACATCATAGTCCTTTCTCCGGCCCTTGCTTTCTGAGGAGAAGGCCCCAGGGCTTCCAGGACAGGCAGGGGTGCTGACGCTCACCCGAGGTATGTGTGTCTAGACTAAAGCTTACAGAGCAAGTGTTGCTCTAGGCTGCTGGGACAGAGTCCCCTCCAAGTTCCTCCCCACTTTCTCAGCTGAGCTCCCTGAAGACAGACAGACAGACAGACAGACAGACAGACAGACAGAAGGCTTCTCAAGCCCACCGGAAAGGTTTCATCTCCCCTCCTGCAGTGCTTACTGAAAACTGACATTTCCCCACAACACAGAACTATGCGCAGTGTGGAGAACAGTTCCCTCTTTTGGGGTGCAGCGCTCAAATGGGCTCTCATGTGCTCCTCATTCCGTGGAGAGTGAGCCCCCACTTCCTGCCGATGGAGACGAGGCATGGATGCAGGAGCTAATAATAGCTTTTCTTTTAGAAAGCAGCTGGGGAGCTGGAGAGATGGCTCAGTGCCTGCTCACTGGCTGCTTTGAGGACCCAGGTTCAATTCCCAGCACCCACATGCCAGCTCACAAGTGTCTGTAACTCCAGTTCCAGTGGATCTGACTCCTTCACACAGACATGCAGGTCAAACACCAATGCACAAGAAAGAAAAGAAAGAGAGAGAGAGAGAGACAGACAGACAGACAGAAAGCAGTAGGTCCCTCTTCATCAAGAACAAGATGTGCATAACCTGGCTGGGTGGTGGTGGCGCACACCTTTAATCCCAGCACTCGGGAAGCAGAGACAGGCGGATCTCTGTGAGTTCTAGGCCAGCCTGGTCTACAGAGCAAGTTCCAGGACAGTCAGAGCTACACAAAGAAACCCTGTCTCAAAAAAAAAAAACAAAAAAAAAAAAACAAAAAACCAAAACCAAACAAACAAACAGTGCACACTCCACCCCTCAAATGTCCACCCTCCTAGCCATATAAGCTTCAGTCGACCCCCTCCTTACGCACTAATCCTAGACAATGAGAGTTAGGTGGTTGAAGAAGAGAAGTTTTTAAAGATGTAAACCTAGAAGGAAAAAACTCTCCATGTCCAAACATAATGCTGCACTTTCACGACTGTGATAGATTAAAATGCAAATTTTAAGAGCGCATTCAACTTTGAGGAATCAGGAAAGGTTGGTAGTACGTTTCCAAGAGAAAGAAGGCAAAGTTTCAGAAGTTAACCGCCTCACACTTTGACTCTAAGGATGCGAAACTGTCAGCACTGGCTTTGTTGGAGGAAAACGTTACATGTCTCCTCATTTGGGTTCTATCGCTGTGATAAAACACTATGACCAAAAACAACTTGGGGAGAAAGGGTTGATTTCCTCTCACAGCTCCACATCACACTCCATAGCTGAGGGAAGTCGGGACAGGAACTCAAGCAGGGCAGGAACCTGGAGGCAGGAGCTGATGCAGAGGCCATGGAGGGGTGCTGCTTACTGGCTTGCTTCCCCTGGCTTGCTCAGCCTGCTTTCTTATAGAACCCAGGACTACCAGCCCAGGACAGCACCACCCACCACCCTGAACCATCGACCACTGATTAAGAAAACGCCCCACAGGCTTGCCTGCAGGCCAATCTGGTGGGGGCATTTTCTCAATTAAGATTCTTTTTTTTTTTTCCAAACGACCACAGCTTATGTTAAGTTGAATTGAAATTAACCAGTCGAGTGTCCAGTGGATCAACACTCTCTTTTCTTTCTTATCCCTCCCAGGTTAGGCATCATAGGTAAGACCTTTTCTCCTGCGGCTCACTAATAGAATACCAGGTATTCATTTATTTGCTTATTGGGCTCTCTCATCATAACATGCACTCCATGATGACAGAGAATTTTCTCATTTGGTTTCATGCTGTGTCCCCAGTTCCTGGAGCAGTGCCTGCATGTCGCAGGGGTTCCTTAACTACTGTTGAATGAACGGCTATAAGGACTGTCCCATCATGAGAGGTAACGTGAAAGTGAAGAAATGATGTTGCGTTCTATGCATGATATTAGTTATGCTTTATTAAAGGATGCAGAGAAAGGCTAGAAGACGATGCAATGAATGTGAACAATGGTTGTGCTAGAATTAAGAGAATCGTAAAGCCCCTTCCCTCCATTTCTTTTGCAAAAATGTTTATAAGCATTTTAAGGGCCGTTAGCATAGACTGATGCGTCCAATACAAAGAGGTTGAAATTAGACCAGGGCCTGGCTCCCCATGGTCACAATCCAGTTGCCTGTCTCTGGGCCCCTCACCCAGGCTTCTGAGCTGAAGGCTGGGGCTGATCATATCTGCTCTGCTGTATCGTAGATCAAAGGAAATGATGTTCTTGAAAGTACTTTATAAGTGGTGGTGTTTCATACAGATGTGCCCCCAAAAGCACGTCCTCAGGATTAACATGTTCCAGGCCGTGCTCTCCCTCCCCATCTTGTTACTGTGGAGAGACCCTGTGGGCTACCCAGGGATTGAAAAGGTCAACATCTTGACTGAGGCTGTAACTCAGCACTAGAGCCCGTACCTAGCAGGTAAAAAGCTAGGTTCCATCTCCAGTGATGGGGAAGGGGGAGGAGGGTGGAGAGAGAAGAAGAAAGGGAAACTCCACATCCAGACCAAGGCTGGCATATGGCTGTGTGTCGTTCTTAATTTGCCTCTTGTGACTAATTCTGACCTTTCTCTTCACCCCTCTCGACCCCATGGGTCTGTTCTCAGGGCACAGTGTGGGAACTGGGGCCCAGACTGGTGAGTGATCTGGGGAGTTCAGAAGGCTGGCAGAGCCGGGGTGTGTGTTGGTGAAGTCTGATATGAGTCAGCTGCTCTCCCCACCGAGGGCAGGGCAGCGGTGACTCTGGACACTGAAGGCACCTCACTTGTGAGATTTTATCAGGTCTAAGTTCCTGGCCTCCCTCGGCTCAGAGGCCTGCAGGAAACTGCTTACACTCTTCACCTGACCCCCAGACTCAGCAACTGGGACAAAGCACGACCAGACCAGGAAATGCTGGTAACTTCGAGGGAAGGAGAAATCAAAGGTGTGAAATTACTCTTCCCCTCTATTATCTTTAAAATCAAAAAGAAGTTACAGGTTTGTAATTACTCCACCCGAGACGAGACGACGTGTGTTTACAAAATGTCACTTGATTTTAGCACTACCAGCTAGTTTTGTCCATGCTAAGGAGGAGGATACCAAGACCCAGAGATAATGACAACCCTTTTATCTGTGGAGCACACTGTGGAAAGCCCCCGCATGAGCGCCGTGAGTCTGCCATGCCCATGCATGATGCATTGACTGTGGGGACATCAGGGAGCATGCGCGAGACCACAGCAAATGGCTCGGCCGTCCCCCGCCTGCCTTTCCTGACCCTGTCACCCCTCTCTTGTGACACAGAGCCACCTTCTCCATTTTTTGAACCCAGCTCACAGGGACGACTCCCTGACCTCTTCTCTCTCTTAAAAATGTTGAGATTTTCTGCTGGGCATGGTACCCTTAACCCCAGCACTCAGGAGGCAGAGACAGAGAGAGAGCTCTGTAAGTTCCAGGCCAGCCTGCCTGGTCTACATGATGAGTTCCAGGCCAGGGCTACATAATAAGACCTTTTCTAAAAAAAAAAAA